CTATGGTAAGCGTGATATACATCCAAAGTCTGATGTTTTCCCATTGATATTCCGACCATTCTACAAACGCTGGGTTCCAGCGCCAAGGCATGCTTTCTCGGTTCTTATGCAGTCCTATCCAGGGGATTTCCACTGCTCCTCCTTCGGATTGTCTCATGCATTTGAGAAGCACATGCGAAAACGATCAATAGCGTGCACTAAACTAGCGCGCCGGTACGCCTTCGTTGCACATGGCCATCTCTACGACAGTGGACAGGACAAGGCTGGTAGTCTGTCAGACCTGATTTGGATCCGCGAGAGACTGATTCGCGGTGGTCAGATCATCCATGAAATACCCTTGGTTGGACACAGAGTTGAAGCACACTTAGACACCTACAAATTACGTGTGAATCCCTAGGGGTCATTGAGATGGCTGGTTGTGCGGCATATGCTATATGACCAATGATTCTATTATTGCGTTTAGAGTTTGTCTGATCACTTATATTGCTATTTACTGTTTTCTTCATCACGTTTATGTAAAGTTGTTAAAATGTCTATTTAAAATGTCTATAGATTAATTTTCAAGCACATATATATGTATTTGCTTTCAAAAAACGGCCTTCAGACTTGTGCACTTATTTTGTTTGAAAATAATACGATTTTCAGGGTAAAAAAACGGGTGGTTAGGAAAAGTTTACCTTCGGCAATTTCATCAGCGTCAGGAACGACTGACAGCCGGGCAAATAATGAGCTGCGTGCGGAACCGCCGCACACAGAATCGATTTGCTTTACCTGCAGGCTTCTGCCGCAGTTAGCTATCGCTGTCCAATACATTTGGGGCATCTCGAGGCCGCCTATGCCGGTCGGAATGCCTCTATATATTGGAGCCGTTAGTGGCTTCTTTAGCCATAGTGGTCCTAAATGAAGTCCTCGCGGTCTTCTAGAAAAAAATGTTGGCTCGTGCTGCAAATGTGTTCTGCCCAGTAGAGCAGCTTAATCAACAAACACACATATATTTCGTCTGTGGTTTCGATTTGCTCTTTAGATCTGCGAACTAAATTGGAGCATTTCAGAACAGCATATGGGTGTCGAAAAATTGAAAGGTGTTTGATGCAGCTTAACACTGGCGCCTTCATAGCAAAGTAAGTTGAATGTACATTGACATATATGGTTATATTGGCATGACGATATACCGTGTAAATTGTGAATTTATATATTTGGTCTATAGTCCATGAACAATGCTAGTTTTACTGGTAAAGGTTGTTCTAGAAAAAAAATGTACTTCGAAAAATATTTTGATTGTACATGGAATACATGCCTAACTTACTCCTGCTACATCGGTTGGACAAATTGCGGTCCGAACACTCGTCGTTTTATATACAGTCAGAGAACCCGTTTGAATTTCTGGTTGGTTGGTTGGTTGGTAATTTTATCCTGCGGCCTACAGTACGCCAGAAATAAGATCTGT